AATAAGATTGCTCCTTGTTAGCTCTCTCCCTATCGGCGTATATAAGATATAAATGAGAAAAAATGAAACTCCATACTCTCTCCAGCCAATACAGCTTGTGTGATAACATGTATAAAAGATCTGAAAATCAACAAAATCCTCATGTCAGTATACTAAGATGAATTCTGAAAGATTATTATAATATTTTCACTACAGGCACCAACAGACATTCACACATACACAGATGCAGAGCATTCCCAATAACTGCATAAGTATCAAGTTTAGCAAATTGTAATTGGGATTTAAAACTTCAACAGGAAACTACGTTGCTAAATCTATTCCAAAATAGGAATGCACTGTATAAAATGTTGTAAATCAGCAAAAAAAAAATCCCCAAAAAAATTTAAAATATGCACATAGAATAAAGTGTTCAAGGATACCCTTTCGACAAACAAGCAATGGAAATCTTAATGTTCCCAAAACCTCATCTTAATATATAGAAACATATAAGATTAATGAACTTCAAATCAAATTGCTCTCTTGCCGCCTTCCCTCAAGCACAATATATGCATTAAATGCATATACAAAGCTACCATCTTTATTGAGAAGTAGGTAGGCCGCCAAAGAAATCAATAAACTAACTGCAATTATATACATCATGAACGCAAGGTACTCGTATCTGCATTATGTTTACACACAGGCACATTTTACATGCTAAACACAAATACAATACACGCAACAGATTAAGAGAACTATAGAAACCATTATGACAAAATGTAATAGAAAATTCAGCATCCAAATAACTGATACACTTCAAAAAAAAAAATAATAATAATAATAAAGAACTCGCAAGACAGGCATAAAGAAATACAAATATAAAGATAACATCTTGGGTAACGAGTGGGCAATCATTAGCAGAGAGATTGATTGACGCAACCCGTACCAAGTCCCCCTAATGGACCCGACACGTGTCGTGCGCCGATAATAAGTGTCAGCTCAACACTGGACCCATCACCAAGGCAACAAAAACTATACTTTGATTGTATGTCCTTTTTTGACCAAATAAATTTATTTTTTTCCTCGAAAATTTTGACAGAGTCTCCTTTGAAAAATGGAACTATTTTCAATCCGTAACCATAACAATTTTCCCACCACCAATATACCAATATCATAATATCAATCATTCATCCACTCAAGACCATCAATATCAC